GTTCCAGATTGTATTAGAATTCAATAAATCTGTATTTGAACCCAGGTCCCCAGAACGTTATCAGAGCCTCTGGATTAACAGCCCAGTGATAATACCACTAGGCCATCGCCTCTGTTGTACTGAGAATCTTGGCTGTCCACCATACCATCTATTTTGTCATCTGCAAACTTGCTTCTATATTCACATCCAAAGCATTTATCTAAAAGACAAAACAATGGACCAAGCACTGATCCTTGTGGCACACTGCTGGTCACAGGCCTCCAAACTGAACAACAGTGCTCTACTACCACCCTGTCTCCAACCAGCAAGCATTTTTTTGTATCAGTGGCTAGCTCTTCCTGGATCATGTGATCTTTGCTACTGGTCTACCATGCAGAACCTTGTTGAATGCTTTGCTGGAGTGCATATAGAATTGCAGAACTGCTACAGAGGAAATGGCCACTTTGGTCCATTAAATCAACACTGCCCCTCTGAGGAGCCTCCTACCCTAGGCCTGTAATGCTGGATTTCCTATCGTTAACCACCTAGCCCTGCATGTGATGGATAATTTAGCATGGTCAATCCTGTTTCTCACGGGACAGAGGAAGCCTGTGCAGACATGGAGAATCTGCAAACTCAACACAGTTGCCCAAGAGTGAGTTTGAGCCTGGGTTCCTGCTGCTGAGCCAACATTGCTAATCGCTGAGCCACTGCTGTTCATATAGACAACAGCTTTTGCTCTGCCTTCGTCAATCTTTGTCAAGCCAATCAAGTTAGAGACACTTTTCAACACAACCATATTTACTATCCTAATCAGTCCTTGCCTCTTCAAATACATGTATATCTTGTATTTCTCAGAATCCCCTCCAACTTGCCTACCACTGACAAGACTCACTGGTCCATAGTTCCCTGCCTTTTCTTTACAACCTCTGTTAAATGACAGCATCACATTAGCCACCCTCCAGTCTTCCTGCACTTCACCTGTGGCAGTTGATATAAATATCTCTAAGGGGCCCAGCGACTTCTTCGCTAGCTTTCCACAAAGATCTGGGATGAACCTGGTCAGGTCCTGGGGATTTGTGTACTTTTTTGTGAGGGAAGCCTAGTTTGTCCCCACCTCCCTAACCTGACCTTCCTTCCCACCTCAAGCCTCACCCCCATCTCCTACCTACTAACCTCATCCTGACCGACTGACCTATCTCCTTCCTAACTCCCCACCTTTACTGGCTCCATCCCCGCCTCTTCGACCTGTCTGTCTCCTCTCCACCTATCTTTTCCTCTATCCATCTTCTGTCTGCCTACCACTCCCCCATTTCTGAAGGAGGGTGTAGGCCCAAAACGTCAGCTTTCCTGCTCCTCTGATGCTGCTTGGCCTGCTGTGTTCATCCAGCTCTACACTTATCTCTAAGACATTGATATGTCATTAAGGATATTAGGGGACAGTCAACCAAAACTGAGGTAACAGCCCTCAGCTCTGAGGTGGCTGAGACCCAGTGATTCTTCTGTCTTAAAATCATCTAAATAGCAAAAGTACCAACAGCACAACTGGTTAATATTTCTGATAGAAGAATTGACAGAAGGCGTTCCTGACAGAAGAATTGACCGAAGACACTATTCCAGAAGACATGTAACCTGGCTCTAGTTTCGAGGGACTAACTTGTATTTATTGGAAGAGCATACCATTAGAATCTTGGTTTTTTTATTTGGGAGTTGTTACTAGTTAGGATTTATTCTGTTTAATGGTTGAGTTAACTTGTTTGCTGTTAGATGAATTGTCACTTTTTTTGATTTTAAAGTGTCACATTTTTATTTAACAACTGGATGTTGCTAAAAGGCAAGTTGCACCACTTTTCACACACCTTTTGACAGATTATAGGGTGAGGCGCTCCTCCTTTGGGTGTTTGTTTTAGTTTTTGGGGTGGCAGGGGTTCAATCTCCACTTTATAACACTGCCCTTGCCCCTTCTTATTACTCACCAGGATGATTAGGCCTCACTTTTCATTCCACTAGCCTCTGCATTCAAAGGATCATTCTCCACCATTTCAGACAACTCCAGAAGAACACCACCTCGCACATCACCTCGCACATCACCTCGCACATCACCTCACACATCTCGCTCCCCAGTCTGCATTTTGCCAGGATTGTATCTTCTGGCATAGCCTAGTCCATTCATCAACCACTAACAGCCCCCCCCCACTCCCATGGCACCTTCCCACATAACCCCAGAAGGTGCAACACCTGCCCCTTTACCTCCCTCCACCATTCAAGGTCCTAAACAGGCTTTCCATGTGAAGCAGCATTTCACCTGCACTTCCTCCACTCTTGTGTATTGTATTTGCTCTCCGTGGCCTACTCTACCTTGGAGAAATCAAACTTGGACTAGGCGATGGCTTTGTAGAACACCTCCAGTCTGGGCGCAAGCATGACCGCAACCTTCATGTTGCTGTTGCCAGTCATTTTAATATGCTCACTTGTCTGTCCTCAGCATGCTGCAGTGCTCTAGTGAATCACCATGCAAACTGGAGGAACAACACCTCCTCTTTAGACTAAGCACTTTACAGCCTCTTGGACCTGACATCGAGTTCAACTCCTTCATATTGAAGCCAGCTCCCCAATTCTTCCCTTTTATTTTCTTTTAGCTTTCTTCTTATGACATTCTTTTGTCATGTCCTCTCTCCTCTTCCTTGCCCGCCCGCTTCCCCCCCCCCCCCCCCCCCCGGTCTGTTCTTTCCAGTCTGGCAGTCAGACACCTCCATTGTTCTGCCACTCTCACATTCTGATCACTTAATCTGAAAGTATCAACATCTTTTCTGAACCAGATTCTCTTCCCCTTCTGCTCTCCTCCCACCACCCCCACCCCAAAAAAAAAAGCATAAATGCTGCCCCACTCCACTCTTCGGTTTGCTGAAGATTCATCTAGACTCGGGAGCTTGCTGCCTCTCCATGGATGCTGTGACCTGCAGCATTTTCGGTGAAACTAAAAGTTTGTGTCTCCGCTGTGGATGCTTCTTTTCAGGTTAAGAACTCTAGAGAACGACATTATTTACCGTGCTCCATCATGAGAGAAGAATCCAGAAAAGCCTATTAAGAACTGCCATTCATTCTAAAGCTAGGCTTAAAAGCTGTTTTTAAAAGAAATCTCCATGGTGACAGAAATGCATACAAGTTAATAATTGGCTTTCTGTATATCAAAGTAATCAGTTGCCAACTGAAAAACCAGAAACCCAACTTCAACAAATAATGAAATATTATAATATGTAAATCTGTTTGCATCACATCTCAGCCCCTCCCCAAAGAAGAATTAAAAATATATCTTAAAGGAGCATTTTCATGAAGCATAAAGTCTATAACTTAGTCACCATAATTATATGGAAACATTAATTATGCAATCACATGGCAGTCATTTTTACATATGTTGCAGTCTCTGACACGTGTGCTGTCGCTAAAGAGCCTGTGATGACCTTGTCTTGTTTGAATGCTCTTCTCCAGTTGTAGTATAGAATATGAATCAGCTTTTGTATCATGTTCACTTTATCATAAGTCACGTTATTTTTGATTATTTGGTTTTGGTGTCATTGTGATAGATGAGCACCAGCTGTTCTGACCTGGTTCAATTATATCGTTGTCCATCGTCCATTTAATCTCTCCCCTCATCTAAGCTGACCTCTCTGGGTGAGACCATACAGGTTGCATTCCCCACAACAAAATCCTGAACAGCCAAAGCTGTTTGTTTTGCCTAGCCTATGTCCCTCAAATTGATTTATAATTCTGTATTAGACTTTGTAAGTCACCTTGCTAGTTTTCTCTAAGATGAGACCTGAAGCTATCTAATATTTTAAAAATCTCTGCCTATTGGCAAGTTAACTTATGAATTTCAGTTTTGGATTCAATCTCCTATTGCTGTGTTTATTTCATTCCCTACTTTCTTCACAGCTATATGAACAGCTCCCTGCTTAGTTTGATAAAGTCCAGTGAACCTTACTTTTAAATGGTTCTCCAGGGACATGGAACAGCATGAACACCTTTTCTCCTGCAACAAAATTTAAAACTAAATCCTGTGGACTCATTAGGAGTAAATATTAACAAAGGAATTTCCTTATCCCAATCATTGCAACATTCTTGGCAACAACGTTTAGTCATCTTCAAAGTTTGACTTCTTTCCAGTGTACCTTGAGATGCATTGTGAATTAACTTAGTTCACTGTATGTCCTTGCCTTCCCATTGATCCCCATACTGATCACAAGAAGAGTCTTGTCAGTAATGCATAAATCATGTTTTACCCTAAAGTCAGGTTTAAAAAGCTGTTAGTAAAATAGATCACATGGTAAAATAGCTTCTGAAATGCTTTAAAGTTAATAATTAATTTCAGATGCACAGGAACCCACCTCCCCCACCCCAAAACAAATGGCTGCCAGCTCAGACCAGAAGTCTAAATTCGCAGCAACCCTGAACAGAACAGTTGGCCTGTAAGCCACATAGCTGGAGCCCAGATTTCCTACAAGTCCCCTTTTTTAATAGTTAAGCCATTGTCCATGACTAACCTAGTTTAAATATGTTGCCATGGGAAGTATTGCATATGCTTGGTGATAAAGAGACTTTGTACTGGTGGGGAGAGGCTTGTGTGCTCCCTCTCCACTGGCTGTTGTAAACAGGTACAGATGCCATAGTCCCAGAGGACTACAGGATTGCTTTCTTAGAGACAATTGGTGAACACTTTTTTAAACTGAAGGTCACCATGCCTCAGGAAAGAAGCAAGATTGAGAAGATGGGGCCTTCATGGTAACCTTGGAGTTGAGGTGAAAGCAGGAGTTGATAAGCAGACTTACTACTACACTTCTCCTTTGTGTTAACAGTGAATGATAGAACTTTTGAATACTTTGGTTTTGTCTTTTCATTAATATGTTTAAATCTTTTTTTTTGCAAAGGTGGTTTTTGGGTTAATAAGACACTAAAATGAATTCTGAATTCTTGTAGAGCTTTTAGTAACATTGCTTACTGATCAAGGTGTTGTATGCTTTCAGGCACAAACACGAGTCAAGTTGAACTTTCTAGATCACATAGCCAAATTCTGGGAACTTCAGGGATCTACACTGAAAATTCCGCATGTGGAGAGGAAAATGTTGGATTTGTACACGCTCAGTAAGGTTAGGTCTTCAGCTCTCCTAGAGAAACAATTCTGTATATTCATCTAATTTTTCTGAATAATGAGAACAATAAGAACAAAAGTTAAATACAGTAATCTATTGTTGAAGTGCTTTGCATGTATCTGAATGCCATCCCTGGCTCTGTGGTGTCTTAATTTCAGGTTGCTGTTTTCTTGTTTGTTGCCAAACCTTGACAGGGCACTAGATGGAATTTTAGACCAGGCCATAATCCATGCTTCAATTCCTTGTTGAACACCAACCTCAAGACTTATTTTGCCAGTTCCCAGACGATTTAAATTGTGTAATTACTTGCAAGTGATGACAAATCGCAAGCTACATTTTTCTCTTCTATAAGCATTTGCATGGGATCCACTTTCTGCTTGTAGCCCTATTCCCACTAAACTCCGGACCACCTTTTTTCCCTTCTTACCCCTTGTGCTAGCGTTTATAGTAAATTGTACCTTTTACATGTACAATCTGTCCATTTTAAATATGCCTGTCATCACACCTTCCCTTGAATTGAGGCTTGTCACCCTTAACTAGCTATCCAATCTTTTCCTCGAGTCTTTGAAAATGTCAATTCACAATTCTGCATCCATCTTCTCTGCACCTCCTGTGTTTTGAATATCCAGTCGGATTTCTGCTGTCACTGTCTTGACTCTGAAACAGGAATCTGATTATAGGTAGCTCTTTTGTTAAGCAAAGATATTAAGGGATCTAGACAAAGGCAGGTGTATGGAGTTCGGCCCTAGATCAGTCATGATCTCCATTGAATGGCAGAACAGGCCCAAGGGCTGAATGACCTGCTGTTCCTATGACTAATCAAAGTCAAAATTACATTGTGTGTCTGATTACCTGTGCTCAACACCTGTATAGCCTCTTTCCAAATTGACCATGCCATCTTCAAATTTTTGTTGGTCAGCTGAGTGACACTGCTCTCACCTAGTTTTGCTCTTCGAGGATATCCTGCAATGACTTCAGTTCCTGCCCCTGTATAATTGAGAGATCTGTGCTGCTTTCTAGATCTCTCTCCATTTATGTGGTTCCCTGTTTTTCAGTTCCTCCTGTCAGAGGAGAGGTTTATATTGCTACTTCATACAACATTTGCCGAATGTTGTATATACTCACTCAACCTATCTATATCCATTAAGACTTAACTTATTTTGACAGCTTACTTTCTTATCCATTTTTGTGTCATCAGCAAATTTAACGACCACTCAAGTCATTGATACAGATGGTCTGATTGTCTTACTGTAAGTTGAGGCCCCATAGCTGCTCCCTGTGACTGTCTACTGTTGCATCTTGCCAACTTTGAGTCCTATTTATCCTGACTCTATCCTGTCAGCTAACCAATCTTTAATCCACGTTAAAATGTTGCCCCCACACCATTTTTGGTAACAACCTTTGATGCAACACCTTGTCAAATGCCTATTTGAAACACGCACAGATTATGCTTGTGCACGTTGCTAGTTGCATCAAAAATACTAATTAGTTTCATACGACTTTTGTTTCACAAAACCAAACTATTGACTTTTCCTGATCCCATTATGATTTTCACAATCGGTAACTTCAATTTATAATTAGTTCTATTAACGTAATTAAATGCTGCAAGGTGTTTAAGAGAACTATTATCAAAAATGACACCAAAAGCTTCTTAGACAACAAGGTGCACGGCTGGATGAACACAGCAGGCCAAAAGCTTCTTCCTTGCTAAGGATTTAAGGATCATCTTAAAGCAGAAAAGTGAAGTAGAGAAGCAGGCAGTAGAGTAGGAATTCCAATAGTCCAGGTCTTGTCAGCTCAGGACAATTAAAATTAAAATCAAAATCAGGAATGGTTAAGAAATGAAGTGAAGGAGAACAGATCTCAATTATATAGGGGCAGGAACTGAAGTCATTGCAGGATATCCTTTAGCTAAACTGACTAGAGAACAGAACTAGGTGAGAGCAGTTTCACTTAGCTGGCCAACAAAAATTTGAAACTGGCATGGTCAATTTGGAGAAAGGTATAAAAATGTTGAGAAGCACAAGGTAACCATTTGCACAATGTCATTTGATCTTGATTAGTCACAGGAACAGAAGCAGGTCATTCAGCCCCTTGGGCCTGTTCTGCCATTCAGTGAGGTCATGACTGATCTGTGGCCTAACTCCAAACATATACCTTTATTCATATCCTTTAATATCTTTGCCACTTCAACATGCCACCTTGTTTCCTGGCCAACATCTCTGTTTCAGGCTTGCTGCGGTAGCCCAGTGAAGCTCGGCGCAAGCTGGAAGAACAGCAACAAAAACAGAGGTTGCTGGAAAAGCTCCACAGGTCTGGCAGCATCTGTGAAGCGAAAAAACAGTTAATGTTTTGGGTCCGGTGACCCTTCCTCAGGACTACTGGAAGAACAGTACCTCATTTCTGCTTGAGAACGCTACAACCTTCTGGACTCAACATCGAATTTGACAACTCTAGGGCTTGAGCTTCTCCCATGTCCTCACCCGCTAACCCCACGTTACCAGGCTTTGTTATCACATCGTCTGCTATTACACTCATCCCATCCTCTGCATTAAAGAACATTTTCCTAGTTACCATCAGTTCTGGGGAAGGGTCACTGGACCCAACACATTATCTCTGATTTCTCTACACAGGTGTTGCCAGACCTGCTGAGCTTTTCCAGCAGTTCCTATCTTTTTGTTAGAAATTTGGGTACCCTGGTTTGCAAATCAGTGTTAATATGCAGTTTCAGCAAGTGATTAAGAAGGCGGCGGAATGGAATTTAAAAGAAAGGAGACTTTACTGTAGCTGCACGGTGCTTTGCAAAGTCCATATCTGGAATATGGTGTACAATTTTGCTTTTATTTTTGAGAAAAATTTGGAAGCAGTTTAGAGAAGGTTAACTCAACTTACTGGCTTTATCTCGTGAGGGAAGGTTGAACAATCTAGGCGTTTGTTCATTGGATTGTAGAAGACTAAGAAATTATCTTATTGAAATGTATAAGAGCTTGAGGGGATTTGATTGGTTGGATATAGAGGATGTTCCCTCTTGGGAGGGAGGCTAGAACTAGGGAACATGGTTTTTTTTTGTTTAAAAAAGGTCTCCCTTTGGATGGAGATGGGAAGTATCATTTCGCTCAGTGTTGGGATTGTGTGGTGTTTTTTTTGTCCCTAAAAGGCATCAGGGCCCGGTTTTTTAATTCCACCTGGGGGGGAAAAGAAATTAGATTTTTGAAAGGATAGTTGAGGGCTATTGAATACAGACAAAAATGGAATTAAGGCCACAACCAGATCAGCCATAACCTTAATTGAATGGTGGAGCA